AGCAGTGCGCTGACAGCTGGTTTTCACAGATGACTTGAAGAGACGCTAGTCTGTCTGATGAACGCAGCGTGTGGATGAACGGCGGTACCACCTAAACTGAACATAAGTTGGCAAGTGATCACTACCGTGAGTCTCGATATCCGTAGACCAAGCTGCAGAAGACAGGAGACTCCTGGATACAAATGTAATGTCGAGGCATCTGCTGTAAGAAGTACCCCGAATGAAAGTGGGCGATCCATCCTTCAGCACCCTTAGTCCAAAATTACACACGAAGTCGCACAAATCTCTGCCACCGCTGTTCATTACAGTGCTACCCCAGAGGCGATGATGAGCGTTGAAATCTTCAATGACAATGTGGGGGCTCTGAGCAGCCTGAAGCACTAATCTAAGGTGAGAGCAGTCCATCTTCGCACTTGGATGGATGTATCCTCCGATAACCGACAACGTGCGCCTTTTATTTTTAATAGTCAAGCAAACGTAATCATTCATTGTATGCAACAGAATGTCATGTCGTACGTACGTCATATCTCAGCGTACACAAACTAGCACCTTGCTTGCACGGTGATCACTGCGAGACCAAAGCTGGACGTACCCTGATAAACGGAATGAAGAAATCATGTTTGGTTAGCAGATGACAAAAACTGGGAACTGGTATTTCATTACCCGCTGTCTGAAATCAGAGAGACGGTCACGTAAACTACGAGCATTCCACTGCATAACAAGCGTCTGCCGCATGCGATCTTCGAACATCGAGGCCATGTTCGCTTACTGAAGAACAACAAGAAGTGGCTCCAGCACAACAAGTAACTGGGCAGAAGCTTTAGCCGCCGGAGTGTTTAGACCACTAAAGATCTTGCGCATGGAACCCATCAAATTTCTAAGCATACTCTTGATGTCATTATGATCCATCTTGTCGTCCTGCTCGCTGCGTTCAGCAGCATTATGCGTGGAAGACGTACAAGTGGGTCTTGATGGTAAAGAAGGCCACTCCGAGGTATTACGAGCCGGCAGCTGGTTGGCTCGTCCATTTGTCAGCTGTAAAGGTACGGAAGCTCAGACATCTTCAATTCTGGCCGGTAAAAGCAAGCGACGAGAAGGGTAATTCTGGACGTCAGATGTCAGTTCTTCAACTCGGTTAGCACTGCTCCCTCGTTTCCGTCGGTATTGTGAACGACGTATACTGCGCCAGACAGCCCTTTCAGCTTCTCTGTGCGTGGAGTGGTCCCTAATCATCTTTTTCATGATAGTTATTTGGTTCCTTATTTTAGGACAGTCCTATGAGGTTGCGTCGTGGGCGCCCGTGCAGTTAGGACAATTAGTGGCAGCGTTGCAGTTGCCATTGTCATGAGGTCCACCACATCGTTTGCAAGTTACCACACCCTTACAAACTGCACTGACATGCCCGAATTTCAAACATTTATGGCACTGTAGAGGTCTCGGTACATAAGGGCGTACGTACCACATGACGCACATATCCAACCTTGACGTGAGTAGGCAACGACTCGGACTCGAGCACTACTTTCACACAACGCGACCGTCCAAAGCGGTGGAAACCGATTCCAGGAGCCGTCGAAGAAAGCAATTTCTCGAAGCTTGAGTCTTTTTTTTCTTCGTTCACATCATAAATGACGCTTGTCGTAGTTGCCTTGTCGTACGCGGAAAACGCGCGCATTGGAATGTTTCCTAATTGGAGAATGGCCTTCAGCGTGTTCATTAAGAATCACATTAAGATCATTAATCACATTAATCACATAATTCACATTAGGATCCATTAGGAAAACACAGCATATCTATGGACTGAATGAAGATGAGTGAGGCGAAGCGTCCGTCTGTCCATTCGTGCATCTGTCCATCCGTGCAACCGTGGGTCTATCTGTCTGTCCATGCATCTGTCCGTCTCTCTGTTTGTATGACCGTTGGTCTAGTGAACACTTCAAGTACCACCATCTCGCTCTGACATTCCAAGAACTAAACTCCCCTATGGCACATACCCGATAGACTTGGTTGGTATACAGAGGACGATCAGGTAAGCCCTAAGGAGCTTCACCCCTACAAGTTTCAGCGACGACATGCCCTGTGTAGAAGGACCCTTCTGGTTACCTCGAACGGCGGAACAGGCCTTGCAAACTAGTGAGGGATCACGATGGCTTGTGTTGGCTGACTAACTTGTGGGACCCTTGAGGTCACCTCGGATAGTCGTGTCTATGACTTGAGGAATCGCACGCGAAGTTCAAAAAATACACCGCAACGCCGACTGCCTCTCTCGAGCCCCCGTCGAAACACTGCAGCAGGATGACCGGGAGGATCACTGCTCGTTGGGAACCATAAACGTCAACGAGTTCTCTGTATAACAGCCAACTGACACGAAACTCAGGGACTTAGTGGAATACCTCCAGGACGAGACCAGTTTCTTCCAATGGTATTCAGCCAAATAGTGGCGTCAATTTTATTGAAAAAAAACGACATGCAACAACATGCTTGCTAAGAAGAATTCCTCTTCAACCCGGGTTCATTGCGTTCTTGTTTACCGTTCAGTGCAGCAACAACAAATGTTCCAACAAATGGGTATAAACTTACTGGAGGGGGCCATTCCAGACGTTCGCGAAGTCTATTGTCGAAAACATGTGGATCGTCGTAGCTGCTAATTACCCCACTTACTCTGCCGAAACAAATTCTTTAGCTGCCCAATGGAAGCGTTAGCAACGCCATCATGTATTCGTGCTGCGTCATGATGTCCCGGAAGTTCCTGGTACTGATAGAGGCATGGCTATTAAGGCTGACTTTACTCAGGAGTCAGGTGATCTTGCAATATAACCAAGCAAAACATCCCCTCACCATGCCCGAAAACCCACAAACCAATGGCTTCACGGAGAGTCCAATTAAGGCCATCGCCGACATGCTGGCAGCGTACGTCGAAGTCAAACACAAGAAATGGTACGCCATTTTTTTTAACCTGTGCTTAGCATACAACACAAGCACGCAAGAAACGACCTAGATGACGCCATACAAGTTTGTCTACTCAAAGGACCCTGCGTCGACGCTTGTTGCCATGTTACCAGACGTGACCGACTAAGAAAACCTCCATGTCAACGCTCACCTTAGCGGGTGAAGCCAGACAACTTGCCTGTCTACGCACAAAGAGCCAGCATAAGACTAAGAGCCATGTTTTGTACCTTCGACGGTGGCACGCCACTTATGAGCCTGGTGAGCATGTTTGGTTCTGAACACTGATACGTCCACCTAAACTAAAACAAAAAATTTCTTTGGCGACACCACGCACCACACAAGGTGTGGAGTATCAACACTCTTGGTGCTGTTGACAAAAAGGTAATACCGGATGGCAATACGAATGCTAAGCAGCACACCATGCGCTCTGAGTTCAATTATGTTGCCATGAATAATAGCCGGCGGCTATTAATCGTGACATCGGACGTAATCATGGTTCGGGACGTAATAACGAAGGCACAAGAGGTGCGCCAAGTTGCTGGACGACGACTACTGGACTCCCAGAACAATCGGAACAGCCTCTATGACACCTATTATCGTGATGTGTATTTCGCACCCGCTAATCTGATCTTGCTTTGGCCCCCCTCACGCCGGGTTGGACTTTCGGAGAAAATACTTTCTAGTTTTTCAGGCCCTTACCGCATCTGAAGCCTGGCGACTGACGTTACCTAGGAAGCCATCCATACGGACGCCACCATCATTCACACTCGAGCTGACGTAGTGCACGTTACGCAGCTCAAGCCATATTATTCCAGCTCCCCCTGATTACCACAAGGTCGGCGCTCCAGCCACCGAGAAATCATGTAGAGGGCGGATTAAAGCCACGAAGAGGACAGGCAAGAAGGCGAGGTTGACAGACCCTGTGAGCTGGGCCCCATCATTTCTACCTCCGAGTTTGCTTTGTGTGCGCCGGTTAAGCTTATTTTTCCCATAACAATATCAAGATAGAGGACTACTGCATGCAATGATGAGACAAAAAAGGAAGACGTAGCGCAGAATTGTGCATGCGAAAACTTCGTAGCCAACACAGGTGTGTTTATCAACACTGTCGTTATAAAATGAAGCAGCAAAAAGATGGGGCATCCAGTATAACGTAAAGTCTTAAATTGCCCACTTGATTTGACTTTGAATTTAATGGCAATGTATAAACGGATATCTTACCTGTTTTTTTCTGGAAGACTTGTGACTAAGAGCTGTGCTTCTGAATTGATTCTAATGTGTATTTTATAGACCAAAAACCGCCATATGATTATGATAGATGCCGTAGTGGACGGTTCTAAAAATTTTGACAACTTTAAGTTCTGACACGCTACCTGAATTTTTGTACACGGGCCTAAACAATTTTTGTCTTCATCGAAAAAACAGCCGCCGCAGCTGGAATTCTATCCGGAGGCCTGCGGGTCTGCAGCTGAGTAGCTGAGCCACTTAGACCACCACGGTGGTGCTGCGCTGCTGAATACGTGTGGCAATAAATTGCTACATAAACAGTGGTAACGTCTCCACAAACAAATAATAATAACAAGTGACAGCGTTAGCACATTTTCTGGCGATGATCGATTCAATTTCTAAAGTATTAGTCATTTGCACCACAGTACACCTTTGTCGAGCAAAAGAGCATGATAAACTTGGCCGTGGCATCTGCTTGACGTGGCACAACTTGTATCCTAATTACGTACACGTGCACGGACCCACTTTGGTGTTAATGTCTTAAAACTTCGATGAAGAATATGCAAACAGGCGCAGTTTTTTTTGCGCCTTTTTGTCTCCCATACCAATGTAAGTGCACTCTTTTTCCATGACAGACATAGCACTGGGGTCACGGGTTCACCCCAATATAGTTTCGCTGACTGCTGTCCATGTCCTCGTCACGGTAAAGTGACGGTACAGCAGGCGCTTACGGGAGCACTAATTGTTAATTTTTCTCATTGTGCGTCCAACGAGACTTTCAGACAAAGCAGCAGCATAACTGTGTATAAATGAATAGCGACACTCACCGTCCAACTTGAGCCTTGCTGCCACCTGGCAAGAGTCATGGTCGTTAGCCGCGAAACACTGGTACATGCCGGCATCTTCACGGCGCACAGTCCGGATGCGGAGTAGCCTGTGCTCGGCGAGCAGTTCGACGCGTCCGTCCGGAAGAATCGGTGCACCATCCTTTCTCCAAGTGACTCGGTTGATCGGCTGCCCGTCCACGGTGCAGTTGAATTCGGCCGGCAAGCCTATGGCCACGGTCTGCAGCTCAGGCTGTAGCCGCGCTCTCAGAGGTACTGAGTTCGAAGACAAAAAAGCAAAGAAGAAGAGGCGTCAGCTAAGCAAGTTGCTAGGATGCGAAAGCTTTGTTATTTGGTCGGTCTAAGACGTTGGCGTGTGGACACATGCTACACTCGTGGGTTCTAGTCTAGTTACTTTACACTTCTAGTATAGTGTTACATGCTAACGGTGTGCAGCCGTCTCCGCTATACAGCACAAATTGTTAAGAAAATCAGGGCATAATTAAGCGTCGCCTTTAAAAGTTGAATGCAATAGTGATATCTTGCCCCAGGTGCGTACTTCAACCACATAGCGCGCGGTATATTTTCGAGCTTGCCACGAACCTACTACGTCACTCTAAGGGAGTAGGCGTAATGACGTGTGTGCCTTTTGCAGTCAGTAAGAAGGCTTTGAACCATGAACTCATTATGGTGATTGCATTTTCTGGCCCGCGATGGCAATGTACGCTAGCACCATGTTCAATACTGCAATATTTTACGTTGTAGTATATTGCGTGTATACAAAACGCGTGTGTTTTTAAAGCATCCATGTTACTTTCCCTTCATTTTCAAGCCGAGGAAGGTATTTTACCAGTGTTCACAAGCAGGACGCGTGGACGTTTAGTGGAACACCCGCTCGGGTTCAATCTCCACTCCAAACTAGAGTACTTTATTATGCACTCTAAACACATCTGTCTCAAGTTCTCCGTCATGCAAAACAGGACGTTTTTTCCCTCACAACGAGCGTCACAGACGCCGACGCCACAATTTTCGCAAAACGAGCTCTTTAACAATATCGCGTTAAAACACGGATCGCCTCAACACGCAAGTAAAACTCTGCTGTTTATAGGTACCCAAAGATTTTTTTTGTTTCTAAATAGGCGGGAAGGGGTGGGGGCGACCTATGGTGATGACTAGCTTGCCGTATTTCCTCTGTTAGCCGTTCAGACGTTTAGAGTAGCGCTGCTCACTAGAGTGGAGTCAAGGTGTGGGACAGGGCTCTTGATAATCAATAATGTTAAACGTGAAACGCGAAAAGCATGCAGTCGAAAGGGGAATGATGAGGGCAAATGCTAGCTTCCAAATCATCATGACCATCAGCCTGACTAGGCCCACTGTAGGGCAAAGGCCTCTCCTTAAGCCGCCGATCAAGCTGGTCTTGTGCTTTCCGTTGACACGTTACACTCATGAACATTTTAATCTCATCTACCCATCTAACTTTCTGTCTCGCCTTCATGCGTTTGCCTTCTCTGGGAAACCAGTCAGCAGCGCTTAATGACCAGTGGTTATTCTACCTGCGTGTTACGTACCCGGCCCATGTTCCTTTCTCCTTCTCGATTTAAACTATACCCTTCACTCAGGTTTGTACCCCGCCGCAGTGGTCTGGTAGCTAAGGTACTCGGCTGCTGACCCGCATATCACGGGATCTAATCCCAGCGGCGGCGGCTGCATTTTCGATGGAGGCGGAGATGTTGTAGGCCCGTCTGCTCAAATTTGGGTGCACAATAAAGAAACCCCGGTGGTTGATATTTATGGAGCCCTCCCATGCGGCGTCTCTCATAACCATACGACGGTTTTGGGACGTAAAACACTACACACACACAAACACACATCATCATCATCATCATCAACATCAGCATTATCCTTATAATCACGCCAGTTTGTTCGCTGTTCCACTCTGCTTTCTTCTTGTCTCTACAGCTTACACCTATCATTTGCTTTTCATCGTTCACAGGCTGCACTTTCTTTGTAAGCCTCCAGGTTGCTGCTCCGTAAGTAAGTTCCACCAAAATTTCCATCGCTCACTGCGTCGTGCTAGATGATTCTGCTCCGTAGGGAAGTATTGGCTGTTACATACGTTTCTTCGTAGGGTTAGCGGCAGATTACCATTAGTAATTTGAGAATGATTGCAGAATATGATCCACCACATCTTTATTATCCTAGTTGTTTTACTCTCACGAATCTGCTCCGTGGTTACTAGCTGTCGCAAGTAGATACATTTTTTTGCAACTTCCTGAATCTCTCCAAGTATCACAAAGCGCTGTTTTCTGCCGAGACTGTTGCACATAACTTTAGTTTTGTCCATATTGATTTTCATTGTTATTCTTTTGCTTTACGTGTCCAGTTCAGTAAGCGTGAGCTGTTTTTTTGTCCCTTGAGTTACTCATTAAGGCAATGCCATCATTGAATAGAAGGTTAATTAGATACTCTTCACTAACTCTTAGCCTTCACTCTTCCCAATCTAGGGCCCTGAAAGCCTCCTGTAAACACGCGGTGAATACCATTGAAGAGATCGTGTCCCCTGGCTCACACAGATCTCTAATAAAATTTTGGGCCTTTTTCAGAGAACTATAGTGGCTGCTGATACACTGCAGATTTCTTTCGGTATGTTTATGTAGGGTACATTGATTTTCTGATTCCGTAGTGCCTGCATTACTGCTGATGTCTCAACTTAGTCAAACACCTTTCGCAATCTATGAAAGCTATGAATAGGTGTTTGTTGAATTCCACGCATTTCTTGATTACCTCCTTGATAGTATAAATATGGTCTATTGTGAAGTAGCCTGTGTGAAATGCTGCTTGGCCCTTTGGTTGATTAGCTGTTATATTGCCGTAATTATATTAGCTATTACTTTTGTAGATATTTTGTAAAGAAAGAACAGTAATCTGAATGACCTGTAATTTTTCATGCCTTTGATGTCTCCATTTTTATAGAATAAAATGACGTTGGCGTTTTTCAAGGAATCTGGTACCCTTCCGGTCAAGAGGCACTTCGTATATAAAGTGGCCTGTTTTCTAACTTCCAATTATCATTTAATAAAGGAACGCAGAAAAAAAGTAGCTGTCACATTATATCATAACCATATCAAGCAATGCGCAATGATAATAACTCTCAAGCCAAACTGAAGTGAAGCTACGCAGGACGAACCCGTGCGGGTCCACTCAAATAACCTAGTTCTTTTTTTAGTGTGACATATAGCTTGATAACGCTATTTTGATTTGCTACTGCTGCCGAATGAATGATACCCCTATTGCTATTGTTAAGATAAGCTAATATTTGACGAAGCAGGGCGTGCCGTTATTGACAAAACGACTGTGTTTGCTACTCACCCTAACCGAAGCGCTAGGCTCATCATTTAGGTGGTGATGTTAGCGAATGAATCCTGCATCAACAAGTCATCGATTACAATATATAAAAAAAGTCACAGCTTCGCCGCCAAGGTGATGATCGCGATAGCGATGAACTGTCAGGTCACGCGCATAATGGCGAGCAGATCGAAACGTGCCCCGCGTTTCTCAAGCACAAATTACGCACGACACGTACTCACAGGTAGACATGAACGTGAATAAGCGTCTTTATTGTTGCTTCGCTGTGTCTGAAAAGCACGCCTTTTTCGCAAACGGCGACTGTGCTACGAGTGCAATGACTATTGTACGCCCGGTAACTACAACAGTATCGTTCGGGTGAAAGCTCCATTCGTACGTTTGTTCCCACCGCGAGGTAAGCGAAAGCGTCTTCTCTCTGCGGGGCGAAGTACGCGTGTAAGATGAGAGTGCGCGCCGCTGCGTCGTGACAGTCTAATAACGCGTGCTCATAGCGCCATCTCGCTGCTAATGCTGAAAACAGGATAGTTGTTCCCCCCGAGATGCCCGGCATCAGCGGTAAGTGGTAGATATAAATAGCTTGCTATTTGAATGTTTATTGAATTTCTCCTCTGTGACTGAGTGGTTAACGCGCCGCGCTCACGAAGCAGAGGTCCCAAGTTCAATTATTCACGACGGAGCCTTTTTCTGGAACATTTTTCTTTGTTGCGCTTACACACACACACACACACACACACACACACACACACACACACTGTCACGGACGGCCAATTTTGGCGACCCGGCGTCATGGCAATTAACGGGCGCCGTACTTCCCCACTGACCGTGGGAACGGCGGGCGCATGAAAGGGAGCCGAGAAGTGCAGAAGGGGGTGCTCTTCTTAGAACGTCACCGCCGACGGTTGATCCTTTTGTAACTGCGGCAGCGTCTGCAAGGTCATAGAAGGCCGCGATGTACCCCGAACAAGGATTAGACTACGAGACGCACCGGCTGAGAGCCAAACGGTTTGACCGTTTCCCACGGGGAAAAGCGTGGGAAAACCTCTGGTGGCCAAGCCGTATGACAACAACCCAACAGGTTGTCACTCTTGCTAGTTGAGGGCCCTCTCCCAATTAAAAAGGGGTGGGGTCAAAATATTTTTGGGGCGGAGTTTCCATCAATTAAACGCGCATGATTGGACCCATGTAGAGGTCTTTTGTCCCCAAGCAAGAGAGCGAGGAGACACGAGGGGGATTTAAGCGCAGGATTTTGCCCTGCTAGGCAGACTAGTCGCTGACCATCATGGTTTAGAAGCAGATCAACAAGTATCTCTTCTAGAAGTTTTTAGCGTGGCTCTGTATCGGCTGGCCACCTAAACTTAGCCGTTCGTCTAGTTGTGACGCGATATTAACGTCTGCAACGTAGACGTCGGGACTTCGCCTCGAGTTAGCTCAACCTGCTCGAAGTCACCTGCAAGCACTAGCCTCCGGGAGCCACCAGCGTTGCAACACCGCCGACATCGCAGTCGTGCCAGAACTCTCTTCGACTTCTTGCATCCGATCGTCGGGGACGCAACGCTGCCGGTCATCACACGCATGCCTTCACCTGTTTATACCTTCGAACGTTCTCCTCCGTAGCTCTATTGTTGTTAGTTTGTGTAGTTTGTAATTGTTCTCTCTCGTAAGCTGATCTATTGTTTTGATATGTATTTTTTAGTTGTATCAAGTGTTGATGTATTTTGTTAGTTGTATTGAAGTGTTGTACTAGATCTCGTGTGCTGCAATTTTACTAGAGTAGTTTGTTTTGTTTTGTCACGTCTCTGATCTCTTCACTGTCTCTGCTTGCGTACGGAACGAACCAACCTGCTGTCATTCCCGTCGCCGACTTTGCGCTGGCGACGCTAGAGTGGCAGCTTGTAACACACACACACATA